CTCTTTGACTATCAGCTAGACAAAGTCAGTAGTCAGTACACTATTGTGACAGAAATTATTTCATCATTCCTAAAATGGATTTGCAACTTACTGAGCCATGGCAGTGCAGTGGTTACAATGCAGTATTGCAGACTGACTCTGTCTGCAATACTGTCTGACATTCAATTCTGACCAGCTTAAGATTGACTCAGCCTTCCATCCTTCTGAGGTTGGTATAATGAGGACCCAGATTGTTTGGAGGCAAACTCTGCCCACTGCCAGTAGTTTGATTCTCACCAACTCAAGGTCAGCTCAATCAGAATAGAGCTGGAAGGGATTCTGAGGTCTTTGAGTCCAACCCCTGCTCAAGCAGGAGACCCTATGCAATTTCATATAGAGTCAATGTTCTATCCTTCTGAGGTCAGTAAAATGAGGAGCCAGATTGTTGGAAGCAATATGCTGACTCTGTAAACCTCTTAGAAAGGGCTATAAAGCACTGTGAAGCAGTATATATAAGTCTAAATGCTATTGATATTGCTATATGACCTTACAAGTCCTATGAGCCAAACTAAACAGATAGCCAGAAATCATGGGAGCAAAACCATACAACAAATTTTGGAGTCTCTCTTTAAAATATTTGTATGTAGGTAAGATTGTGATGAACCCAGAGCTGAAGAAGCCAGGATACTGGAGAACACTAAGGAAGGAGACAAATATTTTCTGTTACTCCTGATTACTCAAATCTCCACCAAGGAAACTCCTCAAGGTTCTCAGAGATTGTAATCTAAGATGATGGCCATCACAGAATGATACATGCCATGATGTCTCACGGGTGGCTTTCAGCAGGTACTCCAATGTCTGGAGATCTTTTTCCTTTCAGATTCTTCCCTATTTGAGGAATGTCCAGTTCAACAACAGTGTTGGAGAAAATATCTCCTTCTCAGAAGATGGACTGGACTCTGCTCATTATGATCTTCTCAACTGGTTTTGGTTCCCCAATCAATCTTTTGTCTCTGTCAAAGTTGGGCATATAGATCCTGGGGCTCCTCCTGGCCAGGATTTCACCATTAATTCAGATGCAATTGTGTGGCCTATAAAGGTGAGCTGGAATCTTCTCAGGGAAATATTCACACTCTCCTGGGAATGCAGATCATCCAGAATCAGAAAATAGTGCAGCTATTTGGTGAAGATACCACTTCCATAAGGCAATGTAAACATCTTTACATGTGACACATTTGAGAACTAATTTCCCATGCCCACAAAAGATTAGGATTGGGAAAAGTTTCTTGAAACACAGGAGGCACTTGTAAATAGGGCCACCAGTCTATTTTTATTCCTTGTTCCTTCAGTTCTTGATTAGTTTTTCCCCCTGTTCATCCAATAATTCTTTATAGCTCACTATTTTATTTAAGTCAAGGACATTGGGATACACCATTGCTTCTATAGTGGCTCTAATTTACAAATTCATACAAGATATAAGAAAGATATAGAAGAATTTAGAATATATAAAGATCAGCATGAATTAGATAAAATATTACAAGGATAAGATGAAAAAATGATTACTGAAATATATAATTATCTCCTAAGATACCGAATGGAAGAGGAAGCGATAAAAGAGGCCATGATAATTTGAGCAAAAAAATTTGGAAGATTAATTTGGAAGATTGGGAAAAATTATGGGAAATAAACTACAAACTAACTCTATCAGCGGCATACAAAGATAATTTATGCAAAATGTTTTACTGTTCACATTTACCCCCAGCAACATTGGCTAAGATGTTCCCTAATAGATCAGCAAATTGTTGGAAATATAATTATAAACAGGGAACTTATTTCCATATGTGGTGGACATGCCCTCAAGCAAAAAGATATTAGTTTAAAATTAGGAAATGGCTAGAGAAAATTACAAAACAGAAAATTGAATTGAGACCAGAGACTTTTCTATTGGGTATATTAAGAGATAAAATAAGTAAGAGACTCCAATATATTATATTACATATAATAACTGCAGCAAGAATAGCCTTTGCCCAGAATTGGAAAAGTGACAGTATTCCCTCTGATATTATGATAATGAAAAGGGTTTTAGAGTTTGCAGAAATGGATAGGCTTTCAATGGAAATGAAGGAGAGAGAGTACTGCGAAATTTGGAATTTATGGTATAATTGGCTGCAAGGTAGACACAAAATAGAGAGATGAAATGAAAGGTTCTGATGTGATGAAATAATTTGGTATGAATAGGCATAACTATGTATGCTTATGTATAAATATAAATAACTATGTAAACATATGAAAATATGACATAAATCAAAAATAAAATAATTGTAATAATATTTAGTATATTCTATATACTTAAGAATATGTCAAAGTGAGTGAATGCTGCTGCAAATCTGCTGCAATGAATGGAAATATGTTTTTAATTGTTTTTTAATTGTAGAATTTGTTTAATAAAGTCTTTTAAAGAAAGAAAGAAAGAAACACAGGAGGCAATTAGGACTTCCAAAACTTCTTTCCACAGACCATCCTCATTCAGTTGGATCCTCATGATTTTTTTGTTTTAGAAAAGCTGTTACTCAATGACACAAACCTTCCTTTGTACCCCAAGGTGCCAATTCTGATATCCAGCATCCATTAGTGGGTTTGGGGGTGCCACTGTCTTCAGAATCCCCAACAGTTTCTGGTAGATCATGGCCATGCATTTCTTTGAAGGCATTCTAAAGATGGAAACAAGAATGCGGAGAAGAATAAATTAACCGTGTTCATTGCTAAAGCCACTGCAAGCATTTGCTTTTTATCTTTTAGAAGGTGTCTTTTGCCAGTATGGCATGAAGAGTTGCCAGGCAGGAGAGAGGAGAAGAGTTCCACAGGGCAAGCAACTTTGCTGCTACAGATGTGATGCTTGTCCAGAAGGGACCATTTGTAATCAGACAGGTTGAGCAGATTTCAAATGTAGATATTCCAGGATCAAGGAAGCCATAAATCTGTTGGAAGAAATGTCCATCTGGGTTCAGTTCCAAGTGGGAAGAAAGACACTGGAAACATGGAGACTGCTTGGAAGAATGGTTTAATGGTGAAGCAGAACCACCAAGCTATGTGTGCTTCTGGGTATCAGACCACATGGAATGGAGATATTTATCTCTTGGGCCTTGCCCTAGAGCTTCCTGTTTCTGTGGCAAAGGCATTTATCCTATTGAGTGTCAGACTCCCAGGGGGCAGGGGTCTTAGCTAACTCTGTAGGCTGTCTGTGTCCCAGACTTGGTTGAATCTTGCTGGGTGATGTAATGAAGGGGCTTTGGGCAATTCTTCTTATGGCTTAATGGCTTTGTTCTGGTTTGGATCTTGAGTGCCGGCTAATCCTATTACCCTGGAGCTAAAGGTCTTTTGTCTTGGCACCAAAATATCTGCTGGGGCTGACTTTCTGGGTCTCTTAAGATTTCTATTTCTCTTTTAGGGGAACTATTCTGCCTTTTTAATAGTTCCTAGAATATTTCATTCTTCTAGGAGAGGGCTGGGTGCTAACTTTCTACAGATGAAACTATTGATTTATTTGTTATTTCTGATATGATTGGGATTTCTAAAACTATTGATATTTTTCAGAAGAACACATCAGTGTTTGTATTAACTCCTTCCACTCTATATTCATATATTTAATTTCTAACTTCCATTTTTATCTTCCAACCATTGATAAAATAGTTCCCATATCATATAATATTCAGTTTGTTCCTTTTCTTTAATTGCTAGTGTTAATCGGTTCATTTCTGCACAGTCTAATATTTTCCTGGTCACATTCTCTTCTATTGGAATCTTTTCACTTTTCCAGTTTTAAGCAAATACTATTCTAACTGCAGCTAATGCACAAATAATTAAATATATATTTTCTTTACTATAGCTTTCAGGTGTTTGTATTTAAATTGTGCTGCCCCACAGATTACCCTCAGATATCTAATACAGGATAGTTTAGGGCACAACTTATGGGTCCCCTAGTAGCTTTTTCAATCCTACTTCAGCAGCAGCAATATTTTCCTGAAGTAATGGAATATATGGTTCATGCTTTAATTTCTATTACTGATTTGTTTGCTTCTTCTGTCCGCATTTTCCATCTCCCATGAAATTGATATACCCTTTGGACTTACAGTTTGCAAGGCTTGGGTGGCAGCAGGAATCCGTGATCATGCACAGTTTCTGCTGCGCTCACCGCTGGAGTGCCCCCAATCCCACTGGATTTGGGGGCTATAGTTACCCTGTAGAGGTAACTGAAGATAGGGGAGATCTGGCAGGGGTCTGGGGGAATCGCAACCCCTCTCATCAGCTGGCTTAACTCCCTTTTCCGAAAGTGGTGGAGCAGTGGTCAGCAATGGCTGCCACAAAGAAACTTTCATCCGGATAAGAATGTGCAGGAGGAAGCTGAGAAGTGAAAGTTTTTGGCTGGCCGGGATAACAAGTAACATTTAAATATCCTGGAATTTAAATTTTATTAAAGATACATTGCTCCCAAAGAAGATCGGAAAAAGCAGCAAATGAAAGTAAAAAGGGAAAGTTTGTTTTTTCTCACTCTCCTTCCCTACGGTGATAGCAGATGGAAATCGGAAAAACCCATTTTGGCATCAGCAGGTAATTAAATTGGAAAATTAAAGCCAAGGGGACATTAAAGATTTCTGAACATTGGAAAAAAAATATTTTTTTTTGCTATAAGTGGAAAGGGAGAGGAAAAGAATTAATATTAAGATTTTGCTGGAGGAGGCTGCTTGGAATTTATAAGACTAGAGTTAAAATGTAACAAGACTTCTAAAAGATATATTTTGGAAGTTTGCAACTGAACTGTAACCCCAGGAAGAGAAAGTATAAAAAGAAGAAAGTGCTAAATGAAACAGTCTTTGTGTATTTGGATTGCTTGGTGACTTCGGGACCTTTGGAAATTTTTATTTGAAAGACTAAAAACATTTGGGTTGTTTAAAATTTTTTTCACAATGGCATTACTTGTTGATGAACTGAAAATGGAATTTTAAAAGCTAAAAGAAGAGGAACAAGAAGGGAAGGGTTCTTCTGGATCTGTTTTCCATTTCTTAGAAATGGCGATTTCTACCTATCAGAAACTACAAGAACAAGGAGATTGGGATGAAGAAGAAGCCATCTTTAATGAACAAGCAACTCTAGCTGGGGAAGAAAAGGGAAAGAGGGAAGAGAAGTTACAAAGGTTTGAAGCAAGATGTAAAGAAACAGGATTTATTCAGAGATAATGGGTAAAAATATAATTAAAAAAGAGATTCTGCACAAGTACATAAGACTGTATTGTTGTATTTGTATTTGAAATAATGTTAGAAAATTGGAACACTATATGATTATAAAATGGGATAAAATATTAAAAGGAATGTGTAAAATGCTTAAGATTTAATGATAGAGTTTAATTTGCTATGGATTATTGCTGTAATTATATTATAAACTTATTATTCTTTCTTATTTTAAAATATAATACATAGCTTTAGAATGTACTAAGCAGAATCAGAATGAAAATTATATATCATTTTAAGTGTTAAATTTAGGGGAAAGATATAAAGGCATCATACTTCAATCAGTGATTACAGGAGAAATTTTGTGTTAATGAGAAAAGATAATAGATAATTGAAATAGAACAGACAAAAGATATAAGCACAATGATTTAAATTGAGATGAAATAAATAAAACAGAATTAAGAGAGTGAAAAGAGGGGAGAAGCTATATAGAAAATGTAGAATGCTAAATAAGATATGAAATGGTATATAAAGTGAGCATGAATTCGATTTATGTCTGTACAAAAAGATATAACCCAGGACTAAGCCACTTTCCAAAAAGAAGTTTTATGTTTTCATGTTTTGTGTTTTGTTTGTGTATATTTGTTTATTGAAAATTAATAAAAAATTTATTAAAAAAAGAAATTGATATACCCTTCAAAGAAAGAGGAGATACATTTATCTGTGCTTGCTAAGTTTTCCCGCACAAAAATTCTAAAATGAGTGAATATGAAGTATAGAATAACAGAGTTGGAAGGGACCTTGGCGGTCTTCTAGTCCAACCCCATACTCAAGCAGGAAACCCTACAACATTTCAGACAAATGCTTATCCAATCTCTTCTTTAAAACTTTCAGTATTGGAGCATTCACAACTTCTGGAGACAAGTTGTTCCACTGGTTAATTGTTCTAACAGGAAATGCATCCTTAGTCCTAAATTGCTTCTCTCATTGATTAGTTTCCATTCATTGCTTTTTGTTCTACCTTCAGGTACAAAGCAGAGAAGTTGATCCAGAGACCTCTTTGTGTTATTATCTGGAACTTTCTTTCCTTCTCCCTCCTGTAATCAATTTATGTTTAAATCACTTTTGATCAGGGAATAGTATTTTCCTCTTATAACACTCACTGTTTACAGAAAGTGACATGGCTACTCTAGTAAATAGAAGGACCAGGGAGACATGAGAGTAGTCTTCCAATATTTGGAGGGCTGCCACAGAGAGGAGGAGGGTCCAAGCTATTCTCCAAGGCACCCGAAGGCCAGACAAGGAATAATGGATGGAAACTGAACAAGGAAAGATTCAACCTAGAAATAAGGAGAAATTTCCTGGCAATGAGAACAGTCAACCAATGGAACAGAAGTTGTGTTAGGAATATAAGTCACCTAACAGGTATTTGGGTTGGTAAAATATAAACCAGGACAAACATTTTAATACTGTCTCTTTAAGAGACTCCTAAAACTGTAATTGGGTGTGGTTTCTCAAACAGTCATATGATGGAGCCAGAAACCTGGGTTGTTTAATCTTAGTCTCAAAAGAGAGTGTGAGTGAGTCTCTTTTTTCCCCTGTTGGAGAATATTGCCATTCCTCCTATTGACTGTAATCCCTGGATTTGATGTAAGTCTGATACTTAACTGTTTCTGATACTGGACTAGATTATCCCTGGATTGAAAATTAACTGATCTTACCTATGAATGATTTTGGACTGTTTATTTTGAACTTTGCTTAAACCTTTATTGAAAATAAAACCCTACATTTACCTTACAGTGTATCTGTGTGCTGTATGTGTATTATTCAAATACTAGTCTCTATACGTCTCCCTATATGTGCTCATTCTCCTAATGGGGAATTACCTCAACAAGTTGGCTTTGGAAGTTGTGGGAGCTTCATCACTGGAGACTTTCGAGAAGAGGCTGGACTGCCAATTGTCAGAAATGGTGTAGGTCTCCTGCTTGGGTGAGGGGTTGGAATAAATGGCATACAAGGTCATCCTACCAGGATTTGGGGGAAGGAAAAAGACGAGCTCCTTTAACATAGACCCTGAAGCCAATCTGAACATTTCTAATGTCTCTATCTCAAAGCTAATCTCACTGTCGTTTCAGACAAAGCCTTTCTCCCGTTGTGTGAAGCATTGCCTTCCAGGTCAAGCCAAGAAAGTTGCAGAAGAGAAACCGACTTGTTGCTATGGATGTGTTTCTTGCCCAGAAGGGACCATTTCTAATCAAACAGGCAAGTTACACAAGAAGTTGCTCCAACAGGAATGAGGAAGTATAGGAGAAAAAGAGAACATGAGGTAGCAAATCAGTTGTGCAAACCAACACACCCATCTTCCTAAGGTAGACTTGCACTGATGAAAATTTTGCAGCTCTAAAAAATAAAGGAGGATTAATTGAATTCTACCCTGGTAGAGACCAGGAAGATTTCTTCCAAAATGAAGAACTCCATGAAGAACTTGGGTCAAACTATTTTCCAAGGCACCTGAAGGCCAGACAAGGAACAATGGATGGAAACTGAACAAGGAGAGATTCAACCTGGAAATAAGGAGAAATTTTCTGACCCTGAGAACAATCAACCAATGGAACAAAAGTTGCCTTCGGAAATTGTGGGAGCTTCATCACTGAAAGCTTTCAAGAAGAGATTGGACTGCCATTTGTCAGAAATGGTGTTGGGTCCCCTGCTTGGTCCAGGGGTTGGACTAGATGACCTACAAGTTCCCTTCCAACTATGTTAATCTAAAGTTCAATCTCCCATTTGATGATTTTTTCCTCCCCAGCATCTGCCAACAGGTAGCATACACAAATACAAAAGAGCAGACTTTCGAGCTAAAGATCTGTCAATCTTGAGGAAGTTCCAGTACAAACTGAAAAATTCAACTATCAATCTTTCTCACACTGAGAGGCACAGTAGGCGTGGGAGTACTCATTCACTGGAGAGAGCGTTTTATCCCAAAGCAAACTAATCAGATCCAGTGGAGTTGATCAGGTCAAGCTAATCTGTCTCCAGGGTCATCATGAATGAAGGCCGATTTTCCATTTTTGATTTCCCCATTAAATACTCAGTGGATCATTCCAATAACACATTTGCAGACTGGACACAGCAGCAAAGGAATAGTCACCACTGAGGGAGGGAGAATGCCAATGGTAGATGCTTCTGAAACGCTTAGCAAAGAACTTCAATCTTATCATTTTATCTTGATTTCAGATGCAGTGTACTGTGACCTCTGCCCAGAAGACCAATGTCCCAACAAGGACAAGAACAACTGCATTGCCAAGAAGATCCACTTCCTTACTTATGAAGAGACCCTGGGATACATTTTGGCTTTTCTAGCTCTTTTTCTTTCTCTAATTACATCTGCAATCCTGGTGATTTTCCGCAAACACCATGACACACCGATTGTCAAGGCCAACAACCGAGATCTCACCTACATCCTCCTGCTCTCCCTCCTGCTCTGCTTCCTCTGCTCCTTCCTCTTCATTGGTCAACCCAGGAAGCTCACCTGTCTCTTCCGACAATCTGCCTTTGCCATTCTCTTTTCCCTTGCAGTTTCCTCTGTGTTGGCAAAGACTGTCATGGTGGTTCTGGCCTTTATGGCCACCAGGCCAGGGAGCAAGACAAGGAAACTCTTAGGAAAACCACTTACTAATGCCATTGTCTTAGCCTGTCCCCTGATACAAGCAGTTCTTTGTTCTATTTGGCTGGCAACCTCTCCTCCATTTCCCAATGTGGACTTCCACTCCTTGGTAGGAGAGGCCATCTTGGAATGCAATGAAGGCTCAGCTTCCATGTTTTACACTGTCCTCACCTACTTGGGTTTCTTGGCCCTCATCAGTTTCACAGTGGCCTTTCTGGCTAGGAAATTACCCGACAGCTTTAACGAAGCCAAGTTCATTACTTTCAGCATGCTGGTCTTTTGCAGTGTTTGGATCTCCTTCCTCCCTACATACCTGAGCACCAAAGGGAAGTCCATGGTGGCAGTGGAGATCTTCTCCATTTTGGCCTCTGGAGCTGCTCTCTTGGCTTGTATCTTTTTCCCCAAATGCTACATTATCCTACTGAGGCCCAATCTGAATTGTAGAGAGAATATAATGAGGCACAAAAATCTTTGAATTATCTAAGGACTGGGAACATTAATTCTGAGTTTGGGGCATTTTTGTATTTCATCTGATTATTTAAAAAATAGTGGAATGAGACAAGTTTTCCATTAAATATTTGTAAATCAAGTTATATGACAAATGATAAAATATCCATTAACCAGCAATAACTGCTCCCTCATTTATTCCTGGCTAATCTCTCTTCTTTTTCTGAATCTTTATCCTGATTGAGGGAAACACCTGGAAGAACTTCTCCATGCCACTTTTGAAAGAAGGGAGCAAAAATAGAATAGAATAGAATTCTTTTTGGCCAAATGTAATTGGTCACACAAGGAATTTGTATTTGTGTGCAGCATATAAAGAAAATTTGTGTAAGATGTTTTATAGGTGGCATTTACCCCTGGAAAAAATAGCAAGATTGTTCAAGAACAAATCGGAGAAATGTTGGAAACGTCATCAGATACCTGGATCATATTATCATATGTGATGGATGTGTGCACAGGTGAAAAGATATTGGACTAAATTCCACACGTGGTTGGAAAAAATGACAAAAAAACACAGACTTAAAACCAGAGATTTTTATTAGGCATTATGCCAGATATATACAGTAGAGAAATGAAGTATTTGATTGTGAATATATTAACAGCGGCTAGAATTGTATTTGCTAAAAATTGGAAAAATGAGAAAATTCCAATCGAGGAGGAAGTTATTAAGAAAATAATGGAATGTGCAGAAATGAGTAAATTGACTTTTGAAATTATAGAGCAAGAAGATAAACAATATTAAAAGATATGGGATTTATTTTATCAGCGGTTAGATAAACAAACATGGAAATGAAATATTTTAGAAGATTTTACAATATAAGTATAAAAGAATTTTAGTTTTATTTTTTTCCAAAAAAAATTTTCCCTTTTCCCTCTCTTAATTCTATTTTATTTATTTCATCTCAATTTAAATCATTGTGCTTATATCTTTTGTCTGTTCTATTTCAATTATCTATTATCTTTTCTCATTAACACAAAATTTCTCCTGTAATCACTGATTGAAGTATGATGCCTTTATATCTTTCCCCTAAATTTAACACTTAAAATAATATATAATTTTCATTCTGATTCTGCTTAGTACATTCTAAAGCTATGTACTATATTTTAAAATAAGAAAGAATAATAAGTTTATAATATAATTACAGCAATAATCCATAGCAAATTAAACTCTATCATTAAATCTTAAGCATTTTACACATTCCTTTTAATATTTTATCCCATTTTATAATCATATAGTGTTCCAATTTTCTAACATTATTTCAAATACAAATACAGTCTTATGTACTTGTGCAGAATCTCTTTTTTAATTATATTTTTACCCATTATCTCTGAATAAATCCTGTTTCTTTACATCTTGTTTCAAACCTTTGTAACTTCTCTTATCCCTTTTCCCTTCCTTTCTTCGCCAATCTAGCCTTTTTACCCCCCTGTCTCTTGATCTCCACACTCTTAATCTGCACTTTCTTCTGTATTCCTCTTTTCTGTTGCTTTCTGACATTGTATTGATTTTTCACCTTATTTTTCCCTTTTTTGGTTGTTTTTTTAAGTCTTCAATTTTCCATTCTCTTTCCCCTCTTTCCCTTTTCTTCCCCAGCTAGAGTTGCTTGTTCATTAAAGATGGCTTCTTCTTCATCCCAATCTTCTTGTTCTTGTAGTTTCTGATAGGTAGAAATCGCCATTTCTAAGAAATGGAAAACAGATCCAGAAGAGCCCTTCCCTTCTTGTTCCTCTTCTTTTAGCTTTTTAAATTCCATTTTCAGTTCATCAACAAGTAATGCCATTGTGAAAATTTTTTTAAACAACCCAAATGTTTTTAGTCTTTCAAATAAAAATTTCCAAAGGTCCCGAAGTCACCAAGCAATCCAAATACACACAGACTGTTTCATTTAGCACTTTCTTCTTTTTATACTTTCTCTTCCTGGGGTTACAGTTCAGTTGCAAACTTCCAAAATATATCTTTTAGAAGTCTTGTTACATTTTAACTCTAGTCTTATAAATTCCAAGCAGCCTCCTCCAGCAAAATCTGAATATTAATTCTTTTCCTCTCCCTTCCCACTTATAGCAAAAAAAATATTTTTTTCCCAATGTTCAGAAACCTTTAATGTCCCCTTGGCTTTAATTTTCCAATTTAATTACCTGCTGATGCCAAAACAGGTTTTTCCGATTTCCATCTGTTATCACTGTGGGGAAGGAGAGTGAGAAAAAACAAACTTTCCCTTTTTACTTTCATTCGTTGCTTTTTCCAATCTTCTTTGGGAGCGATGTATCTTTAATAAAATTTAAATCCCAGGATATTTAAATGTTACTTATTATCCCGGTCAGCCAAAAATTTTCACTTCTCAGCTTCCTCCTGCACATTCTTATCCGGATGAAAGCTTGTTTGTGGTAGCCATTGCTGACCACTGCTCCACCGCTTTGGGAAAAGGGAGTTAAGCCAGCTGAGGAGGGGGGTTGCGATTCTCCCAGACTCCTGCCGGATCTCCCCTATCTTCAGTTACCTCTACAAAGTAACCATAGCCCTCAAATCCAGCTGGATCGGGGGCACTCCAGTGGTGAGCACAGCAGAAACTGCGCACGATCGCGGATTCCTGCCGCCGCTGAAGCCTTGCAAACTGGAAGTTTTTTTTCTTGAAGGCAGTCTTGATGTGATGCCTGTGTAGTATCTTACTGATTTTGTCTGTAGTACCTCTTATGTAGGGCAGGACAGCTGTTCCATAGGTCTGTTCATCTTCTAGGTCTCCATTATGTCTCAGTGTGTTTTTGTAGAACAAGCCAGTGATTTTGCTTTTGTGGAAGCTGTTGGCTGTCAGTACTTTAGTCAGGATGCATAGTTCAGTCTTTATGTGTGTCTTGTCTGCCAGGCATTTGGTTCTAGCAATTAGTGTTTTGGCCACAGAGTTTATCTGTGCTGGGTGGTGGTGGGATTGGGTGTTGAGGTAGCGGTTGGTGTGTGTTTTCTTGTGGTATATGGTGTGTCCTAGTGTGCCATCTGTTTTTTTGTAGATTAGTACATATAGGAATGGTAGTTGTTTGTTTGTTTCTGTTTCCATGGTGCACTTGATTTTGGGGTGTTTGCTGTTTAGGTGTGTTAGGAAATTGTTTAGTTTTTCTTTTCCATGGGGCCATATCACAAATGTGTCATCGATGTATCTTAACCATAGTTTGGGTTTGTGGGTGGCATTAGCCAGGGCTCTGGATTTGAATTCTTCCATGAACAGGTTCGCAATGATGGGTGACACTGGTGATCCCATAGGGGCTCCTTCAATTTGCTTGTATCTTTGTCCTTTGTATATGAAATATGTGTTGGTTAAGCAGTGTTCTGTTAGTTCCATGAGGTGTTTAGCTGGTTGGTATTTATTTTTTATGATTTCAAGAGTTTCTTTTATCCGGACTTGAGCGAATAGTGAACTATATCGAAACGTCCAAGCAGATCTTCTTGTTCCATGTGTAGATCTTTGATCATTTCCAAGAAGTGGTATGAGTTTAGTACATGTGAAGCTGCTGTTTCAGTATGGGGCTGTAGCTGTTTTGCTAAGTGTTTAGCTAGGTTTTGTAGTGGTGCTCCTCTGGAGCTGACTATGGGTGTATTTTTGGGAGGCCATATAGTTTGGGGCATCTGGAAGATTTTTCTCATGGGATGATCATCTGTTGGATCTCTTTGCTCATGTGGCTGGTTATAATTTTCTTCTTGGTTAATTTTTCCAGATATGTGGTTGGGTCCATGTTTATGGGTTTGTATGTGGAGTCTTGGAGTAGGTCTGTCAATTTTGTTTCATAGTCTTTTCTATCCATTACTACTGTGGCATTCCCTTTGTTAGAAGTATGATTATGCTGCTATCTTTTTTTAGGGCTTGCAGCGCTTTCATTTCTTCTTTGGGCAAGTTGCTTTTGGGTGGTTTGCTTGTGCATAGGATGTTAGTAACTTGGTGTCTTATTCTATCAGCTTCATCTGTATTTAATTAAGTTAGGCTGGATTCTACTGCACATATGATGGATTTGTGGGGATTTTTTGGGGTGCAGAAGGGATGTTTTCTAATCAATCAGGTAGAGCAAACGTCAAAGGCAGATCTTCCAAGATCATGGGTCATTCAGTAAAACAAAATAGTAATTTTGTTGTCATTTTTGATAAGATTGACATGTGTCAAATGTTCATAGTTTACAGCAGGACTTTTCAGTTATGGATTTAAATTGTCCTGTCCCCATAAGCCCCTTTTCTCACTCCTCTCTCTCGTATGTCCTTCTCTGTTGCATTTTAGAGCTTCTCAACACAATCACAAAAATCACTCACAAATACATAAAAGAAAAAATTGGGGAAGAAATGGCAATCTCTCTCACACTGAAAAGCACAATATATCATGGAAGTGCCCTGTGATCAGAAATGGCCTTTTTTTTTCTCATAGCAAACAGACCAGACTAGCTGGATTTGAACATCTTTGTTTCTGGCTAACTTAGCCAAAACATCATCATCAGTGGTGGGTTTTCCAATTTTTTCCTACCAGTCCTATGCACTTCATGCTCACGCTGCAGGGCTCAAATAACAACCTCTTTCAAAGCTGCTGAACTGTCTGAGCTGTCTTTTACCTCAGCTGAGGCAGGGCAGTCAGCTCTGCTGTGCAAATCACCTGAGCTTCACACGCATACGCAGGTGTCCAATAACAACCTCTTTCAATGCTGCTGAGCTGATCTAGCCCTGATTCATCATTTCCTGTTTTTCTGAAAATACCGGAAGTGATGAAACGGGGCTAGATTTTGGCCCACAAAGCTTGTAGAAGTCTGCAGAAGCCTTCCTCAAGCCTTTGGGAGGCTGAAATAGGCCCAAACTGGCCAAAAATCAGGTGAAGCGTGCACATGCGCAGTGAGGTAAGTTTGCCTGCAGCTTGTATGCCTGCACAAATGTCGCTATCATGGTCCTAGGCCCTGTTCTTTTCAACATATTAAAAATTACTAGGATAATAAATTAAAATATATGTT